CGTGAGCGGCAGCAATGAACTGTGGGGGATATTTATTCAAGTTAGCCGGAGTGACAGCCGGGCCCGGCCGTGCCGAGCCCCGGTTTGCATTAAAGGGGAATCAGCCCGACTGGCAAGGGGCCCGGTGGGGGGCTGTGAGGCTTGATCATCTCCTCGTCTGTCCTGAGAGAGCCACCGGCCGGTGGGACAGCTGTGGGTCAACTTCAGAAGTCCTGCTCCCATCTGCTTACCACTAGTACCTTCGCACCTCGTTTTTGGGTAATAAGTAGTAAATTTCCCAAAGAACTTACAAAATGTTAAACCCATGAACTACCAGAAAGTATAAAGCGAGCGGATTCATTCCTGGCCACCCTTGGAAGAGAGTTTTGTTAGCAGAGACAATATTAACATGATAAACCATTCCAACCAAAAGTGAAGTTAACCTGCCAACCCAAAGTGAAACACTTGGTGAACAGATTATAAAGGCTCTCCGTGTTGTACATGACTTTGAAAGATTGGAAAAAAATTTTTAAAATTTTTCTTTTCAGGCCGGATGGAAGGAAAACCATGCAACGTTTATGAATGAACTGAAAAACCTTCAGGCTGAAGGACTTACGACTCTTGGCCAATCTCTAAGGACAGCTTTTGATTTATTAAATTTAAATAGATTAGTAACTGGCATAGACAACTATGGGCAGGTAGGTTGAATATTAAGGTGGAAAAAATAGTTGACTTTTTTTTGATGACAAAGCAGTCCATTTCCAAACTAAATGACAGCAAATGCGAGTAAAAAACACTTCAGGTTGAAATTAGTATACGCATAGTTCACAGGTGAAACTATGCAGTTTTCTACCTCATTTTTTTCCCCTTAAAATGCTTCTCTCATCAGAATTAGACTCAAATTCTTTGCTGTAAAGTTAGTATGAATTTGGTTTTTAGTTCCTGAAAGTTTATTGAAGCCAAAAGGAAAAATACCCTACTTCATATTCAGTTAGTTTGTTACTTTTACCTGTAGGTCACCTGTGTTAACACTAGTTCATTAGTGGACTTCCATTTCTATTTTAGTAGAAGATGTTAGAAATAATTTTGGCTGTTTCTTCAGGATTTGGGTGACTGTTCCTAAAGGTAAGATTTTCATTGGAGTGTAGTAATTGAATACATTGATTTCCCGAGTTTTCCTGGATATACCATTTTACAACTATTTGTTTTGGTTCTGGGGATTGTTCTCAGGACCTTGCGCTTGCAAGGCAGGCCACCGAACCACTGAGCTAAATCCTGGCCCCCATTTTGCAACTATTGCAGGTGGAATTCTAAATTAATTGGCATGTCCAGAGTTTTTTTTAACTTCATACCCTTGGAACAAAAGTAATCTGGAATATATAAAAGAACCTTTCCTTTTGTCCTTAACGTCCTCAGACCTCTCCTTTGCTTTCATCTATGTGAGGAAAAAGCAAGAGCTTTAAATCACATAGATGTTTGCTAAAGAGTAATGTGAAGTGGTCCATTATAATCTTTTTATACCTATCCTGGGGAAAAAAAAGAAAGAGAGAGTAATGCTGTACACAACAAAAGAATATTAAACCCAAGGAATTACATTTTTTTTTCCTTTTTTCTGTGTAGTGCTTGGGATTGAATCCAGGGCCTTTGCACTGACCTACATTCTATGTCTTTTTTTGAGACAGTCTCACTGAATTGCCCAGGACCTCAAGACTTTGATCTTCTTTCCTCACTCAGTCTCAGAGTGCTGGGATTATAGGCATATTCTACCACTCCTGGTTTAGGAATTCAATTCCTCAGTCATGGTGCAAGCACCATAATAATATATTTCACTATAGTGTGTGTTCTTTTCCTGAGTTCTGTAATACATAGTTTCATGCATTTCCAGGAAATTCTTCCTGTGAATGCAACTTTTATTTGTTTTTATATAGAAGAAAATGGAGGTTTTTCTTTGGTTTTAGAAGTTTTATATTTTACTTCAGGATAAATCTTTAGAAAAGTTTAAATTTAGGTCTGTAATATTTAAAATCAATTGCAATCTAAGGTGACCTCTCTGAATTTCATTTCTATCATTTAGTTAGGCAAATTTGTATTTTCTTAGCACCATACCTTTTCTTCTTTCTGTTTTGTTTTTTAACCTTTTGCAACTTGTTGATCTGTTTTTTTGTAAAATAATCTTTTTCATATTTCTTAGTTATATTCTTAGTCTTATTGCTTGAGGTTTTGCTTCAAACTCTTGCGTTCAAAGACATTTGCATCTTGTCATTATTTGTTTACCTTATTTGGTCATCAGGTTGTCAATATATAGCAAGAGTAATAACTTCCTGCTTTTTTTTTGAATCACATTTCATAATGGGAGCACCATTAGGCCACATACATCGACCTGCTACTACATATTAAAATGTTTCTTAGCATGCTTCCTTAGAAAAAATTGCTTGTCATGGAGAGGTTGAAGATGTTTGTAACTTAAACCTGTATTTTCCTTTTCCCAGTTGCCATCTTCAACCAGAGAACACTTTAGTTCTTATTTATGAATCTGAAAAAAATCTTTTGAGATTAAAGATGGCCTTACTTTGCTGACCACATTGACCAAGAAAAAAGCCTGGAAATTGGGACATTTTTGTATGTTAGGGTTTATTCAACTACAGGCAGAGATTTTACTTTGCTGACCACATTGACCAAGAAAAAAGCCTGGAAATTGGGACATTTTTGTATGTTAGGGTTTATTCAACTACAGGCAGAGATTTTATTTTGATACATAAGGAAGGATATAGGGAGCAGTATATCCTGGATGGGTACCTAAAAGTGAAACTAGCATTAAAATAATTTAAGAAACTGCAATTTATAAATTAAAGTGATTGAGTAAATTGTTTAATGAAATCTTTTTGAAAGAGTTTTTTCAACAGGTTTAAGTCTCATATTTAATATGATATATCTTATGTTTTCTTTGTAAAAGTACTTTTAAATCTACCTGTTTCCTGTGGAATATTTTTATTCTGTAAACTTAGTATTTTTATATAAGTACTTCATCCTCTAAACTAAGATCTGTGAAGCCCACAGTGCTAAATACTTGTATATAGTCTCAGTAGTTGGAGGAAATGAAAACAGGTGGCTTAGATGGAGGAGATAGCATGTTTATTTGCAAGCATCTAAAAAACTAAGTTTCTGAATTAAGTATAATATCTAAATATGAGTTATGTGTTTCTATTTGTGTATTTATATAATCCTTTCATTTACAGGCATATGCATGATTTTTTCCATGTTGCACTTAATGATTTAGTTAGCATTCTTAATTCTTTGAGTATTCACCAGGTAAAGTTAATACAGCTGAGAAAAAAATAATGATTCTTAGTGACTGTTTTCCTCAAGCACTTTGGATATCTTTCTAAAGATTTCTCTCTCTGTACCTGAAGAAGTTTTTATAAATATTTAATTTTGATAATCAGTAACATTTGCTGATATCTTTAGAGTCATGGCACAATGTGCAGCCTATAGTTACTCTTTTTTTTTTTTAATGAATTTTATTTTATCCCATCCCTCCAAAGCCCCCTCCCTTCCCTGTGTACAAAAGCTTTGTTTCCATTTTTTTCTTCTATTTTCACTTTTTTCTTGTTACTTCTTTCCTTCCTCCCTAGTTACTTTTTCTTTATAGCATCACCTTACTAATTGCTTATCATTGCAGGGTCAATTCAGTACTTTTTTTTCCTATGTATGTTCAACAGTTTCAATCAGTACTGATGTTTTAATAGCCACCAAAAATCTGATCCAGCCCAAATATCCAAAATTAAGAAATATATAAAGTTTTAGATAATTATTAAAGTTTCATATCTCAAATGCTGATCATTTGCAATTTGTTTTTCTATCAGTGTTTTCAGCTTTTTCTTTGTTTGCTTTGTTTTGTTTTAACTAGGTTCCAGCTTGGATTATCTGCTAATTTATTTTTATCCAGTACCAGGGATCGAACTCAGACCTTGTGCTTGCCAGGCAGGTGTGGTGCCACTGAGCTACATCCCCAGTTTAATCTGCTAATTTAAATCTTACTCTGGCCTGCAAGTCATCATTTTTGTCACTGGCCTGACTCCACACTCCGACGCCTCAATATACTGGTGCTGATTAGAGTGTTACATTAGACATTAA